TAAACACAAACCCTTTTGTATGCAGGGCACTCTTCTACTGGGTAAGTCAGGCAGCATCACTACATGAGCACCAAGATTCCAAGAGAAACCAATTCAGAAAATTTCATATATCATTCGTTTCAGTGGCAGCTCACTGTTGAGGAGTGATAGCTTTAATCCCAAAATATACTCCAAGATGGAGAAGCAGAAGAGTTGCTCCCCTTATGGCTTAATACAGCCCCAACAGTGGCTAAAGTTTTTTCTTTTAATTGTAGATGAAAGTCTGATAGGAAGAGCACAAGCTAAAAAAAATATTGTCTAAAAAGAAAATCTTGTAATAATTTTAAAGCAGCAGTAATAATTTAGTGCATAGCTAAAAGAAAAGAAACCACCATGTGACACAACTTAAATAAAATGAAAAATATAATGTCAAAATATAAGGCATTTGAAGAAAAAAAATATTCAGAATGTATTAAAAATTAAAGAAACATATATCAAAAATTAAAATACTTAAAAATAAATGTTTTAATTGCATCATACTTAAGATCATAAAAGCTGAAAAATACCACCCAGAAATTAGAAAACATTAAATATAGGAAGTAAATTTGCCTCTGGAAAATAATTTCCATGCATAAATATATGCCTTTGTTACTTCAGCTTTTAGGGATTATTTCAGTCACTCATCCTAGAATGGTGACTCAGCAGGTAATAAAGAAACTATTTATTCTATTTTGTGTCTCTGTTGCCTTGTCACCTTGGCACAATAAATACAACCTACTTTAAAACATGGGCAATCTTCAAAGAAAAGCTTCAGACGACTACAACAAAGGGGCTGGGGACCCTATGCTGTAACAAGACAGGGCTTTCTAAACCACTTTTTATCTATTTCATTGCTGCAGGAAGGGGATGGCATTAGTTGGTATGAAATGACATTGTCTCTGAATTTCCTATTCCTTGTCTGCACTCCTCAGGAAGGAAGAACCTCTGCATTCATTATTTCTATGCACTCACAACTGTTTATTCTGTTTTAAGACAAACTAGGTAGACGACTCTCTGAACTTCTGGATGCAAGGAGACTTGAAAAGAAAATTTCTTGTGCCTTGTATTTGTTATCCATTGACATTTATCAGTTATTCCTGCAATCCTGTTACAATCAGTCAGAAGTTGTGTTCTCTGCCTGTATACCTTCCTACAAAACCTCTACAGACATTTCACAAGGTCCTGTTTAGCTGTAATTATGCAGCAGTTAGGAAGGTGCTGGCTCAACCAGAATCATTCTGGCTCTCTTCTAACAGTAACACATTTTGAGCCAGGCAGATCGTTCTACAACTGTGTGTTTGCAACCACAGAAGCAAATATCAGAAGGCTGGAAAAACTCAATGCAATCCATGAAGGAAATTTTATGAAGACAATACTTTTAGTCAAGCCCTGTATTTTGAAATTAGGACAGGTTATGTGCAAAAATACAATTTTTGGCAGACAAAGGTTCTCTCTCTTGTGTACTATCAGTTCAAAACCAAAGTGTAGTTGTGCAATAAGCAATGGCTTTTTTGGAGCACTTGTACAAAGAGAAGTTTATATTGGCTTTCACACCATTAACCAGAATTTAGGGAGAGTTTCAAAGCAGTATGAACAGGTGAAATAGCATTACTTAGGTAGGCAAAGAATTCTAAACAAGGATTTGAAATGCCAAGTTTATTCATGCATCTCTAGCAGAACATGTGAATGCTGTTCTGTGCTCAGTGACAGTGACCACCCTTTCTTCACAAATACCTACTTAGAACTCTCAAAAAAAAAAAAAAAGCACAGTCCCAATGAAAATTATTTCATTACCATAAGGGTGTATCTGCTTCCAGAAATAATATTCAAACACAATTCACATTAACATAGAAATAACTTGGGAACATTCATTCTGCTGGAAAAGCTGCAGAAAACTGGAATCAATTATTATTGGAGAATATCACACCCCTCGTTCTTTCCAGAAAAAACCTCTGACAACTGCCTGAACCTCCCATTTTCATTCAACACACACTGATGGACAAGAAGCCAACCTGGAAATTCTCCAAGAAAAGGTAAGAGGTCAAGGTTAAAATGTTGGGGTTTTTACTACTTGATCTAAAGGATAACCACATCAGACACCAACAGGCACATTCTGACATTTCCTACTGAGTTTCTGCAACTGGGCCACACTTACACCCCAGAAAGCAGCATGAAATGTAATTTGCACGTTCTCTGTATTTCTGTGGAAGAAAAACATTCAGTTACAGAGATAAAACATAGCCAAACTTTCCTCTTCCATTTCCTCATTTGAAAAACTATGGAGAATTTCACACTCCAACAGCAAGACTGGATATTGCACAGGGAGCTCGGGAGATGTTTAGGAAGTTTTTAACCATCTTTTATCTTTCTATATTTCTGACTGCTGGAGCTGAAGATGCACTGCTGGAGCAGCTTCCTGAATGAGGAGTTTAAAATTTAATTATGTGAGAAACGATATATTGGTGTTATGAAACAGCCATATGGAAAAGCAGCCTCTAGTAAGCAAGTTCTTCACTGCCTACCTTTGTACTCTGTGTTTAAAACCTCAGTGCCAGGCTTTTAACAAATATCCAGCCTTCTGGATTGAGGACTCCTTGCATGTTTTTATCCTTAGAGCAGAATGTCTCTTAGAAATGTAGAGGAGAATGTCTCATTCTTTCTCAGAGACAGCACCAGAGGCTATCTTCCACTGCATTATGTGCCCTCTTTTTTATGAATTTTTGCTCAACTCCCTACTTTCATTTTGCAAATTCATCTTCATATCCACCTAGTTGTATTTTACAAACATTTAAACAATTTTTCACTGAACTATACTCAATTCCCAGAAATTTAAGCAGCTTCTTTTCCATTCATGAAATAGTCAGTCTTACTTCCACATTTGGTTTTCAAGCACCTTCAAATCTCTGACGTTGCCCTACCACTGGATGCTCCTGTTGTATCTTACACACAATTAAACCATTCGCAAGACCAAAAAAAAAAAAAAATCCTTCTGCACTACACAGTTACAAAGCCAGGTGAAATGAAGCCTGAATATTTTCCAAAAGGAAAACAATTTCAGCCCACTTATGGCTGTGGTGACATTCTCTGCCCAGCAGCACACCTAGCACTGCAAATCCCCATCCATAGTTCCAGAACAGGAACATAACCTGCTCAGTCCCAGAGCAGCGGGGTTAACCAGCTCTCCTGCAGACCTACTGACACACCAAGGCTACAGAAACACAGCAGCTCTCAGGGAGGGGTTAGCTCCACACTTACTCCTTGGTTTAGACCTCTCTCCCCCAGCCAACACCTTCAGGTAAAAGCACCTCTGGGTAAAATGTTTTATATACATATATATGTACCTTCATTTTCCTCTAATCTCTAAAAAATTTATAAAACAGTTTTAGATATTCTGTCCAGAACTGAATTCCTGACATAGACTTTGCTTCCTAATCTTACATGGTGGATCACTTCCTAGCCTAGTTCAAGGCATGTTCAGTATCTGTACATAAACTCATTTACTCCATTATTCTAATAAGATTCTTTCAATAAAAACATCCTACTAAACAACCTGGAAAAAGCAACAATGAATTCCAACTTTTCAAGGTCATACACAATATACAAAAATTTCAACACATTTTTAACACCTTGGATCACACTATGCCATACCAATCACAGACCTGAGAATTTTGTAATATTCTTTTCATACTGAAAGTTAATTTTAAAGGATTATCACTTTAGAACAAGCACAGAAAACCAACAAAATCAGAAAAGCTCATAATCATAAGATTAAAGGATGCTTACTGTGAAAGGAACACTAAAAATGACCCAATAGTTCTAAGTTCTCCCTACTTTTGTACAATTTGCAAATGAAAAATGTCTGGTTTGTACTAACTGCAGATTTAAACTGAATTTTAGAGCATGATACAGAGCTGCATGGCCATAGTGAATTATCAAGAAGGAAAGCTTCTGGGGCTAACAAGCCCTCAGAGGTCACCTTTGTGCCTCCTTATGGTGCCAGGTTTATAAACACCAAAGTTTGACAAGGTCTGCTGGCCTGGATGCTCTATGTAGGGAAGTCATGCCTGCCTCTCCTCCACAGCATGTAATCTTTCCACAGGGAAAACATGACAGAGAGAATCTTTACTTCATCTAGACTGCACCAACTCATCCACTCCTTCCACAGCTGTATAAGGAAGTTACACACTTTGATTACTAAAACTGCATTAGAAAAATAAGAATATTGGAGCTTTTTTCAAGCTGGGTAATGAAGTGATTAAAAAGTTCAAATAATTATGTTTTAAGTCCTGTAACTGGCTGCATTTTACAATACAAGATTTATGAACCAACAAATCCTGGGCTATCCATAGTATCCTTCTCTTTAAACTGATAGTTCTCTATTTTTCTTGGATAATTTTTATATCTATTATTATCTATAATACAACTATTATTTTAGAGCTAGTATTAAGAACAAACACATGCACTGATTTCCTGAAATTAACAGGAGGAAAGCCTTTGTTGAAGAAAGTGCAAGCCCATGCAAAACAAGAAAACTAAGCAACAATCCCCCTAAATCAAACCAATAGGCCAAAATAAACACCCAAAAACCCATTACACACAAAAAACCCCCAAACCAAACAACAAAAGAAAAAAAATCACACCTGACATGATCCCAGCTATGTAAGGAAGAATCCATTCTCTTATCCTAAATGACTTCCTTCATGACTGCTGAGCTGAAGGTGACTACTAAACAAACATCTGAATATTCAGCTTTCCAGATTGGTATTAAATTACTCTTAGCAATACTATTTTATACTAAAGCAATGTTTTGTAATTTTAAAGAAAGTCTTTAACAACATGAAAACGTGACATTTAGGTATTTAATGATTAAATAGATTTAAATTTGAAGCATTAACCTAAATATCCTAGAGCATTTCTAATAACTTCACTGAGCTGCCATAATTTCTGTCAGCATATGTAGTACTGAATGACTAATAAAATACCTGAATTGAAACTATTCCAGTCTAGCAGTTTGTATGATCTTGTGTTACCCATTATTCCGACAAAGGCTGAGTTCAAAACAGCAAATTAGTAGATCAGTTATAGAAGCAGAATAGTGAAAAAACTACCAACAAGAACACAATTGACAACATCACTCCACAGGAACTGGAAAGACACAGACAGCAGAGTTAATAAGAGGCTGAAATAGAAAGGGAAAAGGAGCATGCTATAGCAATCTGGCACTAGGTGACCAAAGTGGACAGTATATGGCAGGTTTGTCTTACTGGCAAGTTCTTAATCCACCTTCAAATGTTCTCTCCTCTTCCACGTTTTCCTGATTCATTAATTTGCCAATTTGCTTCCTTTAATATTTTACAGACTTATTTGACTCAAATGCTTCACAATCATAACCATATCAGAATTTTTTCCTACTCCTCCACCTTCCCTCCCACAGCCATGTGCTTTCATTCCCCGTTTTGTTCCCACTATTTTACAATGCGAGTTCCAAGGATCATGCACTTTACATTCACTTGTCAGGAGCAATCTGCAAGTCTCACAGAAACACTGCAGCTGTGCAAACACACATCTCTGTCTTGCCTTATGTCTTATTCTGCTTCCAGTCAGCTGGTAAAAATTAAGGAGTGCATAATGCAAGAAATTAATTTTTAAAACCTCTGAGAAAAATTGATTTTTTTAATATTCTGTCTTATATTTATCACAGTAAATTTTGCACATAACAGACCTGTATCAGAAATCTGTTGATAATACAGAATACTAAAATAACTTCGTGGGAAAGAAAAACTCACATATTAATTATATTTGACATTTCTTTTAATTTTCTGTTCACTGTGTAAATAGATCTTAGAATAGGAAAATGAAAAAGCAACAATTGTGTACTAATATACTTGAAAAAAATCCCTTAAAATACAAGGATCTTATTCAAACTAAGTCTTGGATTTAACTTCTTGTTGCCGGTTTACTGAACCTTTAGATCAGCAACAATCTGATCTACCTGCCTGGAGAATTGCCTGCCTTGGGCCATAGGAAGAAAAGGATTTGTTTTTTGTACTTGTTTTTAAGGATGCATTTGGATAAACTTATTTTATTACTCCTGACTAGTGCATGCAAAACCACTACAGGTGCTATTTTTACTCTCCTCTGCATTTTTAAGTGCACTGTCAACTCCAATCTTTGCAAAGCATTCCTCATCTGGTCTCAATGACTAAACCAACCAAGTCTTCAGAGTCAAGAGTCACTCAGGTGTAACATTAGAACTAGGACATGCAAACCACACGCGTTCTTGTGCTGGGGTTCCCAGGAAAATAAGAAAAATCACAAGGTACTGTTCAGTAAAGGTTTTTAAGAACAGAAACAAAGCTGTAACAGTTAAACACCATGTTGTGAGCTGTAGCCATTAGTCCTTAAAGATTTCAAGGAGCTGAAAATGGGAAAACATTCATAGTTAAGGTCAAGCATTTAATCTCATTTTTGTTTGAACGAAAAAACTTGCATCAAGTTTCAATCACAAAAAGCTTCAAAAAATTAATTAACCCCTCAATAATTCAAAGCTAGTTTTCAGTACAAAGTTACTGACTCAAACTGTTTTTATTACTAGCTTAATTTGCCAAAACGTTTCTCACTAAAACCGCAGCCTTGGAGTGACCCATATTCCAAGCCTCGCTGCCTGTCTGCACTGCAGGGCTTTTGCCGTGCATGGCTAGAACGGGTCTGCCTCTCCTCAGGGCCTGCTGGCACCAAGGCTGGCAGGCAGGACCGTGCCAGGCCTTCCAGTGCCAGGCCTTCCAGTGCCAGGCGCTCCCGTGCCAGGCAGGGCTCCCGTGCCAGGCAGGGCTCCCGTGCCAGGCAGGGCTCCCCGCTGACCTACCAGGATTGTGGATGCGATCCAGCAGCTTCACCGAGCGCGCGCTGACGACGCCCCCGACGTGGAGCAGGAAGCCTGGCGGGAAGGTGGTGAGGGTGAAGAACGGGAATTCCTGTTGGCATTAAAAACAACCACTAAAGCACCACTGCAGGCCCTGCTGGGCGCAGTCAGCATGCAGCGAGCTGCTGGCTCCCCCAAAACAGAGTCTCCTGAGCCCCTCCCACCCTCAGGGACCCGCCGGATCACAGATGCACACCTTCTACACACTGAAAGAATACTTTTCCCCCACAGAGCTGTTTCTCAGCACAACAGAGATAAATAATCAAAACTTTAGAGATTAACAAAATCTCTATTGATCCGCTTTTACCATGGCTGCTAAACGCCAGAATTCTTCTTTTGTTAGCTGATAAAAAGTAAGTGTTTTTCTCCATTTTTAGGTGTTTTTGTCACAACTGACTGCAGTTTGATTCTAAAGCACAAAATGAAACAAACTGTAGTCCTGCAAGAATGAGGACTGTCTTATTGCAGGAAAAAATACCTAAAAAATATCAAAGGACTGCTCTGCTCATGAGCTCTAAATATAACAAGTAAATATACATCTTTTAAAACAAAGCATAGGTCTTGAAACAAAATTGTAAGTCCTTAAAACTAAGATAATTCACTTCCAGTTCATAAGTAAAATGAAGAGTTAACTTTCAGTAACTACTCCAGCTTTTAATTCATAAAAGGGGCAAAGTAAAAATGGCAATTTTTCAAGACACATATGATGAAATTGAAATAAAAGTCATATTCAAAGAAGGTGAGCACAAAACTAGATTTTAATTGCTCCAGAGACATTCTGTGATATGTCTAATATATAGATAATAGCACACTTATGGGGGAAAGGCAATAATTCATGTTCAGCAATTCCAAATGCAGAAAGAAAAAAAAAAAAAAAAAAAAGAAAAATCATGCAGTCATGTTTTATATAATCGTAACTGATTAAATATGAGAGAAAGTACAGGATAGGTTCCTTTCTCACATAGTTGGAAACAATACAATTCAACGAGCTTCTGCCTGAAGAGCACACATGCTGCAGATACAGCAAGGATCAGGTTCTTCCAGCAATACATGGTATGAAAAGTCGTCTTAAACTAAAATCCAATGTAGGTTTAAAAATTAATACTTCAGGATTCTTGCCACCCTTCTTATAGGAACTCTTAAAACTTTTTAAAGGTCCTACAAACTTCAAGTTTTCTGGATTTTCATTTGGCTTAAACTTCCAAAATTAAGAGGCAAACTTTGAAATCAGCAACCATAGTATCAATAACCAGAAGAAGAAGAAAACCAATCCAAAAAGCCAAACCCTGCAGTTTTGCTTTATGATGCAATTAAAAAGTAGGAGATCTCACCCCAGGATTCTTCAAACCTACTTGACTGAGTCTGGGTCAGGACCTGCAGTGCTGGAGACTGGGTCTCCAGGAGCAGAGATGGATTCTAGAGAGGGATGCAGTGAAGATTCCTCCTGAAAGTTCTAACAGATTGCCTTGCAAAGTGCCTTGCAAGTTATCAGAATAGTCAAAATACTCAAAATACTTGCTTTCCCAGGACTGCAGAAATCAATAAAGGAGTTTTCTGAGTATGCCACCTATATGAAATGCCACTAAGCCTTTACTATGTTTACATTCTATATATACACACACTCACATCAACACTAGGCTGAAGCAGTATGGAGTGAGCAAAGTAAACAATATTCTATACTTTAAAGCTTGAGCAAATCCAATGGTTGTTAATCTACATGGAATTCTGAAGTTTTTCCACTCTCTGCTCCTTTCCGTAAGGCTGTGTACTGTAAGCAATTTTAACACATTCACACCTCCAGTTTGTGGGATTCCCTACACTAGAAACCAGGAGTAAAAGTTCAAATAACAACTTGGTTTTATCTCAATAAATATATCAATACCCCCAAGCCTGTATTATGACACATGATATCTCTATCATACTCTATCAGTTAACTTGAGACACAGACAAATCTGGGTAACAGACTCACTGAACCATTCTGACACAACTCTATCAACAATCTCTCCTTCATTCTGACACAGATGGAACTCCATCACTTCCTATGAAGACTTTTTTTTTATTTTTCTATTTAATTTATAGAGTTTTTTAAAATTTATTATTATATTACTCAAATACAAGTTCCAACCTCAATTACATGTTGTAAACTGTAGTAGTTCAAAATTTTAAATCTCCATTTTTTTCTGGGAAAACAGAGATTTCAGGGAAAACCAGATGTCGTTCCCATATTATAAATCCCCTCTATTACTGCCATTTGCAAAGGACTCCTTTACATCAAGGTGATGCAATCACAAAGTATTTCAGGATATCACAAACCAGGATGATTTCAAAGCTACAACTGAAGATGGTCAATCATATTACCAATACTAATTCACTACTCCGCAGTCATTGATTGCACAGACCGTGAAAGGAATTCACTTGTAATCCTCGTAACTACATACAGATTTTATAGCTAGTGTTTGGAGCAAGTTTGATAAGGTTACAATCAAATGCTCAAACACTCGCTTAATACAATGTTTAAAGATGTGTAAACACACACATGTATTGCCAGTGCTCTTTATTCAGCCCATGTCATTCCCAGGCACACAGAACAGCCAAGCAGCATATGGAGCAAGGCTGCACACACCCTGGTGTCAGTGCCAGCTGAAGCAGCTCTCTGCTTCCCTTCCAGCCACTCATTCCCATCCCTGTGCCTCTCCCTAGGCAATGCTCACGTGTGCTCACAGAGCCTTTGGGGCTAGACCAGAGCTCCACACCCAGGTACTGCTCATTTCCTGGTGAATTATTTTTATTCTGAGCACATTACCTGAGCCACCCCACAAAGTGGCCAGACAACCTTTACAGCTTTTCTCGACCTGACCTGAGGGGATGGGTGGCTAAGAAGTCACTGGAAAGAAAAGACGCTCAAGTCAGGATTTCAGCCAAACCAATCTCCCAGAGAACTGCACTCTAACACAAAAGATTTCCTGCAGTGCCCTTCAGAGATGAAGGCCAACAGATCCCCATTTTGAAAAGGCAGCAGAAGAGATCTCTCAAGCACTTGCAGAATGTAAAAACAGGAAGAAAACAGAAATTGTCCAAGTGGAAGTAAGAGACACAAAATACCACTGGCAGCAGCTTTGGCCACTTCTACAAAAATATAGGCTATTTTTAGGAGTAAGATAACCTCCAATTTTCCTACTGATGGAAATGCAGCATGTATTTTTTTAGTTACAAATATATAGAAAGACAGCTGCGCTACAGTTACTGTTGCTATCTACAGATGTCCAGGAAATTGCTAGCAGTAATTAATGTACAATGTATCATGTACCTGAGTTTTCCACAGCTGTATTTTCTACGGGTTTCTTTTCAGGGAAGAAATTGAGGAATATTACCCTTCTAACCAACTCTGTTCAGTTTGCAGTTAGGGTTATTTAATTAATACACTAAAACCAAATTTGGTTAAAAAAAGCTGTTGAGACATGCAACTAAATCAAATTATTTTGAGACACTCTAGCATTATCATACACCAGAATAATCTAAGACTCAAAATAACTATTTGAGCAACCTGGTCTCATGGAATGTGTCCCTGCCCAAGGCAGGGTGGTTGGAATAAGATGACCATTAACGTCCCTTAAACTCAAGGAAGATTCTGGGATCTTATGATATATCTAATATGTGTAAAACTGCACTATACACACTGAATTTATTCTTGGTTTTCCCAAATACTCACTATCCTAATCCAGACAAGTAGAGTGCACTGTTTATGTGTGTAATACTAAAACAGACAAAATAACTTATAGATGTTATTCATTCCAGGTAACCAAAAGATGTGACACCACAGAGAAACCACATCCAATATGAAATTTTCAGAAGACAGAATGAACATATTTTTTTATCAATTAACTGTCCACATGCTTTGCTGCTACATCATAATCATCATCAATAACAGACTCAGAAACAGACACGTCTCCACCCCATTTTACAGTATCTTTTTTCTACTAGACAATATACAGACCTTATCAAAATAATGCCCAAATAATGCAAGCTCTAAAAATACATTAAGGGCTCTTAATTTACTTTATTGTCTTTAAAAAGCTTCCTAAGGAAATAAAAAGATCAGCCACTGAACATCTGAAATGCTAGTAAAATCAAAGGTAAACAGAAAAAAGGCTTGTTTTAAAGCATTCCTTCAGCCAAATTAAAAAATTAAAAGCCAAAAGCCATGGATTTGTACTCATACCTAAACTAAAATGTTAACTGAAATGTATCAACATGCAAAATACACCAATTTTAAAAAATGCTCTTAAAACCAACAAATTTAGAAAATTCTGCATAAACAAAATCACAAAGAAATCTGCAAAGCCTCCCAAAAAAAAGAAAAAAAAATCTTTCATAAACTGCTTTTGAAGTCCCCAATACAAGAAGGGCTGAGAGAGCCACGCAGTGTTTGAACATACCCGCCTGGTACAGAACCTACGGGGCGATCCTCCCTGAGCCACGGAACACAGAAAACAGAAGAGAATCATCCACTTACTCCAGACAGCAGCTCCCCTCTCAGCTTGCACACCTGCAAGTGACTTTGTTCCCAACTAACATACATGCTCCTATGGCATTGGTTGAGGTAGTCAGAAATTGCAATAAATTTAGTTCTGAGTATGAATATACTCCCATTTCTTCCTTCAAGACACCTTATTATCAACATTTTGATCAAAGCAGTATATAATTTATAAAAAAAGTTGTAATTACTCATTCCAAATGTAAACAATTGATTAAAAACTCTGTTTCATCATATAGTCTATTCAGTATAACGAGAGATTGGCATTTTTAGTCCAATAGAGGAAAAGTTTAAATCTATCTATGCCTTTTCCTGCTTGGCAAGTAGTTCAGTTTCAAGTTCCCAATTAAAGGCTACCTTCTGCTCCATGAAATGGGGTGCAAGGTATCAACTCCATTCCCAAAACCTGAAACTCTTCCCAAACCCAAATGGGATTTTCACCTTGTTTAGAGCTATGCCAATGTTTCTGAATTTGGCTTCTGTAAAAACTTTAACATTATGTCTTTACTCAAGTGTTAAACTTAACATATATCAGTACCTTTCAGAGACCACACAATAGTAATTCCTCCTATAACTTCTTAATACCACTGGAATTACTTGAGTGCTGTGCACAGTTAATTGCTCCACTTTTCCCAGTGCTTTAGTAATATATCAATATTTAAATAATTTGTGTATAAAAGGGCTATTAAACAGTCAACACTTGTACTAAGTTCAGACCTAAAATTACATCTTTTCAAACAGAAAGTAACAGCAAACATTAACTTACTGCAAGACAAATTTTCACTTTAGTAGACCAGAAAAAGAAGTATAAAATGCCTTACCCTTTGTTCCAGAGCTGACTGAGTCTGTTGTCTTAAAAGAGTTTTAAATGGCCCCCCTTCTTTTCCAGCACTCCCACTGCCCATTCCTGAAGAATATCAGTACAAATGACATTCAAAAAACATATATTATAATTTGTAATCAAATGGTGATTTCAAAATAGATAAAAATTAGTCATTGAAAACACTCCAATTATCCCCATAGTTTTAATTTTTAAGGAAAAAAAAAAAAAGCATCAGAAACTGAATTTTGGTTTGAGGGTTGTCCTAGGTTTTCCTTTTCATGCAACTAGCAGTGATTTTATAGTATTTTAACAAACCCTCCCAATCTAAGATTTGTTTCCTGCTGTTAACCTGAATTAAAATCAACTCTAAAATATAAAAACTTAGAGATGGGGATTTAAAATTCTTTCCTACGACATATAACTTTTTATTTTCTTGTTATGATTTTTTGCCTAGGATTTATAGATTTACTTTTCACATAAAGTTTTTCCATAACCAGATTATCTGCCCTTATAAAAAAGAGTCTCTCTGTAAGACTAATCTATAGCTGTGTACCTCTCACAATATTTTTATTTAATAGAAGTCATAAAAATCTGGTTTTCGGAAAGTTTCAGATAAGTAAATCACCTTTCCTAACTACAAGTAGGAGACGGTACACATAATTACAGCAGCAGTTACATAATGCATGATTTGGAACAAGAAGAAAATACAAAGGCAATGCATATCCTTTGATTTGAATATAAACTCTGAAAAAAATTACAAATTATTTTACACTATGAAATACTCGCTCATCTGATTCATTCAAATAAGCTACTACTTATTTGGGGCTACTACTGCTCAGCATTTAAAACTACACTTATTTGATTACTATATCAGCACACACATAACCTGTAGATTTACACAAGATAAACCCCAGTTTTGCATAACATGATATTTCTCTCTTTGCTCCTTTCAGAGTTTTACCTCCCGCCCTCCCCCCTGACCACAGGAGTTTTTGTGCAGAGAAAAGTGATCAGGTACATGAATATCTTTGCTGGTCCCCTAGACAGGGCGTGCTGAGATGCAGGTTATGTGTCTGACAGCGACCTGGGGCTCTCTGCTCACAGATCACTCCATGCCAAAATTGTGCTTTTCGTAAAGTAAACACAGTGCTAGCGAACAGATTTCTTTGGTAATATGTCATGCCTAAAAACACACTCTCATTGCTATTCCTTATGTCTAAAGCCACCAGGGCTAGCATGACAAAGCAAAAATAAGCCCCTAAGCAGCAGAGGAAAGCAGAGCGTAAAGAACAAAAAGGTGTCAGGAGCAGGATGAAATACAAACACCACAGTGCAAACAGTTAGAAATGAAGCCAAGATTTTCTTTTCCTGAATTTGTAACTAATTCAACATAATACTTCCTTGTAAGTTTCCTTTTTCTTCTGATCAAGAATCTGATATGGATGAACAAGAATGTAAATATACATCGAAGTGCAGTTGTTTCTACCAAAGACTGGGAGATCTAGAAATAATAACCTAAGACTTAATAATATATGTAAATTCATTCCTAACTTCATTCATTCATTTTCAAGAGTTACTAAGCTACCATTACCAAGTAATTAGACATAAAACCACTACAATTTTCAATGAGTATTTTTAGCTGTTCTTGGATAAGGAAACAAAACTATTAGTATCTGTATAGTCCCATCAAACAAGATTAAATTGCTTTTACTATTTAGCATTGATTCTAAACATCACTGTCAGGGACTATACAATATTAAATACAGACAAACATATCATAAATACTACACATGAAACAAACTCAAAAATTACAAACTAACCAAAAGAGTTTCTACAAAAAAAGTGAAGTAATATCAACAACTATTTAATTGAAATCTATAAAAATAATCCATGTCAGTGAAATGAAAAAGTGGGCAGTAAAAACAAAAAGCATGGGCTTTGTTTAAAAGGTTAAATTAAAAAGCAGTGTTGGTAGCATCTGACAACTATTATTTTAGCAAATTATGAATGAATTCACGAGCAAGTGCAATGAGCAGCTGCTGCATGCAAAATGCAGGAGCAACAAAGTGAAGAGAATGTGTGGGATCACAAATAAAGTAAATTATTTCAGTCCAATTAGCAAAGGATGTTTTTCAAGGGTAAAGAAGTAATTCTGTAGCATAAATGACATTGTTTCAAATCCTCTAAGAAATTCTGAAGGTGTTTCAAGCTTCTGGGGCAGAGGTGAGAAATGGAATGCATAGTCATGTAGCCAGCAGTTTTCAGAGGCTATCTGAGCAAACCCAGGGTTAGAGAAGCATTTGAATGTTAATCAAATAACAACATTTCCTTAAAAGTTTGTTTAAAAGGCCATAATAGATAGATCCTACCAGAAGCAGCCAGAAGCAGCTCTTCAGTGAAAGAAACACTTTTCCTCAGAACAACTGGGCTGACATGGCTAGAGTGTAGAGGTTTAATGCTAGACCCCGAGAGGAGGAGACAGGACTTTTTAAGATGTGGGAAATCACAAGAGAGTGTAGGGGAGCTGGGAAACAGGAAAATCCTAGGTCCCTGTGGGGAAGGTGCTGTGGAGGAAAGTAGTAGAGACAAAGATGTAGATTCAGAAGATGACTAAAGAAATGGACAAAAGAAATGAAAATGAAGCATTTTTGTTTTCTCTAAATGAATCAACACTTAATGCAAATTATTTCTTGACATACAAACAAATGGAATGACAATACAGCTCCACAACGTACATGAGAAGCGTGTTTTTAAAAATCATTACTTGATTAACTTCATTTTGAAATTAATTTTTTAGAGACATGGTAATTAAACATTTTAAATGTCAATCAAAATTTGATAGCAAATAGTATGGAGTAAAACCCAAACAACAGTCTTTGCACACACTTAATCTGATTACTTGTATTATCTCTGTAGAAAAAGTTATTTTCCAAAGAGGTCATGGATTCGTTTTATGGTTTTCTAGAGTAATAAATCTTGTAGAATTCTAAGTTCCCATCAAGTAAAGGAGTTCCCACCTTCTCCATTTCCTCCAAACATATGCTATGGCACATCAGAATGTATTCTGATTAAAAAACATCATGCTTTTTGTCAGCCTGATTCTGTTCATTTGCGGTGGCAAAAAATATATCCCTACTCCCAGAATTCTAACTCCAACCCCAAATTCAGCCAATGTATTTACAGATAAGAATGGATAACACAACACAGTTGTATTTCACAGAAGACAGCAAGGCAATATTCTCCAGATTTGGAGCTATTGAAAATATGATGCTTAAGCAGATCCAAGTTTCATCTCCAGCGTTTTGTTACTCATACTGGGAAATTGTGGTATCTGCACTGTTTCTCCAGGTTAATCTCCCTCTCAGACACGTCAGCACACTAACTACCTGACTGAGAAATAAGGAAGAATACAATGTACTGCAGAAATAGCAGAAAATAATTCTTTTTTCACATCAGCCAATCTGAGTAATGGGTATCTCGAATCTGATAATGTTTGATATATCACATGAGAAGTCTAAATTTCTTTACCTTTGTTTAACTACTAAGATCACCAACTTACACACTGAGATATTTGAACTAGTTAACAGCCTTGGGAAATAAAAAGAGAGGTCTAAGCATATACAGTAACTGTTAAGAACAACATACTAATTTAGTATGGCATGGAAGTGTCTTCTGCATATCATCAAATTTTGGGTAAAAGTAAAACAAATTACTCATGAGGTGTTGTCCTTTTAACCTACTAAGATCCAAAATTGAGTTTGTCATAGCAAGATACAGCATGTTTAAATGTAACTAGAATTTCCTCTTTGGACAAGCTTCAGTAGCAGAGTTAAAAGCTGACAAAAAGACAGTGCCAATAAGCAAAACTATGTCCACAGTTTGCTTTAATACTAGAAAAATAGCTAAAAAATATCTTTACATACTTGAAAAATCCCGACAAATAAGAGGCACCAATGACAATCTGTTTCAGTTCTGAAGGAACTGACTAAAGACAACAGGATTTATCCACCTAACTAATATTGCCAGGAAATACATAATGCTGCTGCTTTAAAACCTAACACGTTCACAGTGAGTTGCCACATGCCTAAATTTACAACACTTACATCTAGAAAGTTGATCATCTAGGTTACATTTAAATCCTTACATGACACCATCTTTACCATGGAAAATCTGATCAAAAGAAACAGGTTTTCAAATATTCTGTAAGCCAAACACCTGAATTTGGGGTGCTCATAAGTAATAAGCATCCAATTCTATCTGTATGTCCTTTAAATGAGTGACCACCATAGGTTACCCAGAGGACAGATATCCTTGAAAAAGGACAAAAATTAAAGTGTGCTTTTTTGCTTGTTTGTTTTAAAAATGGGAGAGAGAAGACAGCAATAAGAAAGACAGCTTGCTAAATGGGAATATTTTTAACACATCTAGGGAATAAACTGCATGAAATATTTAATACAACTCCATTTGAATCCAATATTCAATTTATCTGCTAGGAAAAATTCTTGAAAGGAGTGCTATCAAGTAAAGCTGAATCAACTACCTTTACATGCTTAAAATTTGACTAATTCAATGGAGCCATGAATGTTCTGGGCTTCAAACACCACAATTTAAAACACCATTTAAAAACCAACTACACTTCTACAAACAATTCTACAAAATACCTTGCCCTATGGTAGCAAAATTCACAGCATTGGTCATATAAAAAAAAAAAACATACAGGAATTCTTTGAGTTTTGCTGACATCAATACTGACATGATTCTAACCACAGACTAAAAAATAAGAAGGGAGGAAAAAACAAGTTGAAAAAATTATGATAAAGCAATGGAAAAAGAAAAATGTTTTTTGAAGATGGCTGGATTACTTCTATGTAATTTAAGGTACTTTGAAAGTGTATACTGTGTATGTAAAGCTATTTCCATATACCAAGAGAATAAAAAGACAGTGGCTGCTACATTTCTAGTTTTGAATTTGCAAAAGGGAGTTCAAAATTAGATAAACGTAGGCAGTAAACTTAGGGCACAACAGAGTAGGCTTGAAGATTACATAGTTTTAGTAACACCATCCTTAACATATTGTGGTGATAAATACACTCCTAAGATCTATGATATGAAATGGAGGAAATAAGGAAAAGGCAATTACTTAGGACTCCCTTAATGCTCTGAGATGTTTTATTTTGACTTGAATACAGTTGTGTTACAAAAGTAATTTTCAAGTTATCCCAGACAGTGGAAACAAAGGCAGGATTGAAATTTTGACCCTGCAGAAACCCTTTAGAGCCTGATGTGTGCTGTGTGAGGTCTCCAATTTTCACATCATTTTGATAACTTAAATGCCAAAACGCAAAAAGGGGTTGAGTGAAAATATAAAAAGAGAAACACAACTTAAACAAAAAGTGGGTGGAAGTGCCTTACCAGTTTTGGGTGTCAAACTCAAATCTGTGTCAGAAGAAGAGGACTGTCGACTGTAGGACTTGGAAGGTGAAAAGGAATAGGTTTGGTTTTTCAGAGGGGTGGAGGGTCCTGATGAATATGTATTGGGATTGGGATCTTCATTGAAAGGAATCCTGCCAGAAGAAGGTGGAAACATATTCAGTAATCCTGTGCCAAAGGACCTGGCTGACAGCAGCATGATCCAAACACCAGGATGGGACTGGGGCAGGGCCAGCAGCTATTCCTTAGGTGCGAGGCTGGGAATGAGGCCAGAGGCAAAGAAATGCTGTTTTACCCTCTCAGCATCCTACACAGAGATGCTCATCATCTACAATGAAACAATTAAGCCAAATGAAAGGCATGAGATGTGACAAAAAATTATATATATATATGCAAAATAAAAAAATTGAAAAGTTTATGGCTTAAAAATCTGGTCAAATACACAATGCTTTGAGTTAGTTTAATAAAGAAAAAATGATTTCAAATTACAGCTGTGTTTATACATATTGATACACTTATGTATATACACATATGCATTTTAAGGTAAAAAAAAGAAAAAAAGATATGTTTCCTTATCCTATAGCATCAGCAGCATGCCACAGCTAAAAACAGAGCAAAGAGAAGAATCTTTATGGGAACAACTCTATTGACAAACAGTTTATTTATGCACAGCTTGACTTACCTGCTCTCTAAAACCATCTCTTCCACAAATGGCACAGACCCTTCCTAGAACCATTTTAAAACCTACTGTATCTGAATTATGTTTGAAAGCAGTTACGAGCACAAATCAATGTTTCCCAGTTCCATCACCATACTTTTTTAGTTAATTTCACAGGAAGAGAGAGCATGTCAAAGCGAAGAGCGTGGCTTTGTGGAAGAGACTCCAAGGCATCTCCAAGAAACTATGGTGCATTTGCTTGAGCTGCAGCACCCGGGCTGCTTCTCCCTGCTGACAGAAGATGTGTCCACCAGGAAATGAGGGAAGGAAGACGGGTGGTACCTGCCTACCCTGCCTGCCTGCCCTTTGGGAGCACTGTGCCTGTGGGCTGCCTCTCCCCAGCTGTGGAGTGTGAGCAGTCTCGTACCAGTGTAGATGAGAGTGGGAACAGACACAGAGAAGTTCTGAGTGAGTCGTGAGCCAGTAGCAGTGTGAATTGGGCTGTTGTGGGTCGAGCGGCATCCATGGCTTGGCGGATGAACCAGCGGAGACCTGAGAGAGTTTGCAGCCAAGGTGGAAGAAAAGAAAACAATACATACAAACAGGTTGCAAAGTTATGTTATCAATGGTTTCAGGGAAGTTTAGATAGAGGAGATCTCTTACTCTAAGCAGACTCTAAGAATTTCAATTCCTAGCATGCAAGAGTCCAGATGAAATAAAAGGAGGGAAAGGAAGCGCTTAAGCACTTGCTTGTGACTGCATCATTGATTTTTGGCAACAGGCCATCAAGTTAGTAAAGCCAAGAATAAGAAGAATCAAATTAGTTGGTTTTGCTGCCTTAGAGAAACATTCCCATTTTTTGAACTGAGACAATATCCATCACTGAGTTGAACGTGGAGGTGGAATTTCCACATTTTGCTGCAGAGTGAAAGGCACTGGTTTATTTATGGGTGCTTTTTAAGTTGATAATTACCAGGTCTACCTTTTTTGCTTTTAAACACCATGCTGTTGTTCTATGCTGCACTGTATCTGGAAGTACTTTTAAAGGCAATTTTTTGAAATCAAGACAAGTCAAACAAGCTATGCCATGAAATAGAAACCAGTAATTTTTAAACGTCAGCTCATATTTGGCAAAATTTTGCAGTGCAATTGATGCCTGCACAACAAAAATGCCTCATATAGAGTCTATTGCAGTGACACAACAGTTCAAGTTGATGAAAATGGCTATTTCATTTAATGCATCTAGAAATACAGGATATGTAAAACACTTCTTTGTGCAGTTTTTTCCTTCTTGGATTGCTCTACCAAACAGAAAACAACTAATTTATCCATTCAAAAAAGGAGCAACAGCTGAAAGAAGACTGCAAGTATATTTCTATTAATTTGCATGCATATCAAAACATTGCATTCAAACTGTTTGGCGCTGCAGCATGTATGACCAAATCACAAAATTCTAATTCTCATCGTAAAAAGATCTCTCTGCAAGTTCACTGTCTACCTCTTTTGCCTTAGTCCTATTTGTTCCACATCAGTAAAAAGCAAAGCATACAATAAAAGATGGGGCCTCTCTGGGGTCATTGTCTAAATCACTGACAGAATAATCAGAATTGAAAATTTATCTTCTCTTACAGGCTTATAAATATTTAAACTTGAACCAAAGGTGTATTTGTGAGAGGTCCTCACAAAAATGTTCATTGCACAAACACAGCATCAAAAAAGAACTAAGTACACTTAAACTGGTGGATCACAAACCAAGGATATGTAGTACTGCTGCTACATAAATACAAAGAAAGTAATCTTAGTAAGAATTACCACTCCAGCTTCTACTGAAATAACAACTCATCCAACCTGAAATTTTTCAGAATTGTGGAATATAAAACTTATTGCAGACAAATAAAACTGTGAAAGAAAAACAAATTCTGGGGAAAAAAAGAAACCACACCGGTTATGAAAAACTGCATGAGTATGAAAGGAAGAGAAGTGAAACTTGTTTCCTTACAAGCTACTAATTCATACTTACTCCTTCATTTCTTTGGATGGGGAGTTACATGCAGGTAAAAATGCTGATGTGTTACTTAATTTATCCAACGTGCAGGCTGTTCCTATGGCTCTCACTACGAGTCCAGACTCTCCCTCCAAATCAAAACACTGCAAATAACCAACAACAGCATTTCCTCTCATTTCAAGAACCTTCAAGCCAATCTTCCTCTGCAATTCACCTACAAAACAAAAGGTAAAGAGCTCAGCGTTGCAGTGAATTTCTTCTATTCTCTTTTGTGGTCTTTGACTCAGCTTTTTGAGTGTGAACCAAGTCAGGAGAACAGGTAATCAACCCAATCCTACACAGCTAGGCCAAGGAGCCAGTCATAACTTGTCTCCTACAACATTGTGTGATACCAATCACTTAGAAAACTTTTTGCTTTTTTCTCCAAATCCATTCTGATTGCCAAAGCATTTCAGAGGTCTTTCCCACAAGCCTTTATTTCCAGTAGGCTTTTTTTTTTCCTTTTTTCTACTTATTCAGAGAGAGAGGTCAAGATGTGTTGTGGAACTCACGTGAGTTTCTAAATATTTCATATTTAATACCTCAATATTATAATAATACATATATAATAGTTCAAAACAATACAACATCTTTAAAATGAACAAGCATCTATAATTTCTTCATTTACCAATTTATTTAAGCATATTTCAACTTATTTCCCACATTTTGCCCCTCTACTGCAAACCAAATACTTCCACTTCTATTAACTGCACACAAGGACTGAAAGACTGTGACTATAAGAAACTGGTCTGTCATTAATGTTTTTTTAGGAGACATCTTTATAAACATTAATGGTTCTGTGTAGCTGGATTGCCTTGGTAATAACTAAGGTGGAAAATATCATCTCTCTTCCTACAAAAATGGAAGATTCCCAAAATCCTCTGTTAACAAACTGAAAAATCCTCCCTGTCACAAAGGATGGCCTAACAGTCTTAATGTCGCTGCTGCTGAGAAATCAACTAGAATGAAATGGTCAGAGAATCACAGAATTTCCTGAGTTAGAAGGGACCCACAAGGACCATCTAAGTCCAACTCCTGGCTCTGGTTTCTACTGCTTTCTTGAAGTATGATTCTAAAATTACCAGCACAGGTTACTCTTTAACTTCTTAAATGAAACCTTGGCTGTAGTCTTGAGAAAACTCTAAGGCTGAGATGGAGTATGAAAGTTTTTTTTCAACTTAACACAAAATGACAAAGATCTGTGAAACAGCCTGGCTCGCTCTCAGAAGTTACAGATTTCTTCAAGATTCTTTGTGTGACTACCAATAAAATATATTGCAATAGCACACATTTTATTACATGAGATGAAACAGTATTCCTGTGAGGTTTTTTGTGTTTCTATCCTCTTATCTCTGCCATGAATAAAATCTAGTAGAGTACTTTATCTACCTGCACTATTTCTGCACGGCAAGAAATATGCAAATATGGATTCTGTAAAGTAATATGGGGGCTATAGTAACAAAAATGTCCTCATGTGAGTTACGACAACAGTTTAACTTTTTCCCTCACAGCGTGCTGGCCTTCCCAATGAAGGTGCATCTCCACAATCTTTTATGTTGCCCCTCTTACTGAAGGACACCTTCCACTATCCCAGGTTGCTCAGAGCCCCATCCAGCCTGGCCTTCAACTCTTCCAGGGATGCGGCAGCCACAGCTGCTCTGAGCAGCTGTGCCAGGGCCTCACCACTCTCACAGAGAAGAATTTAATCCCAATATCCCATCCAAACCCACACTCTGTCAGTGTGAAGCTGTTCCCCTTGTCCTGTCCCTCCAGGCCCTTGCAAATAGTCCCTCCCATCTTTCTTGTAGCTCCTTTCAGACACTGGAAGGCCTCCAAGGTCATCCCAAAGTTTCTCTTCTCTAGGCTGAATAATCCCAATTCTCCAGTTGTTTCCTCACAGGAGATTCTCAAGAAACAATGAATGAAGCCTGACTTGCAAGAGATAGGATGAGTACCATAAGCACTGATGCACTGTATCTGATAAAGTGCCTATTTGTTCACATACTTCAGCAAGTTCAAAGAGGGTGAAGTTCATTACTTTAACTGTTTGAGTCAAAATTCTAGTGATACTCTTCATACGGGTTAAGAACATCTTGGAGAAAGTTTCACAGGTTTCTCTGACCTTGCTAAAAGCAACTACAACATTATTCAGCAGCGTGGCCTCACCAAAAACTGGAAAAAAACCCCAAAAAACCCAGTAACACTGCCCATCAGTTAGAAATACGTAATCCTCAGAAACAGAAGAGACTGTGAACTGAAACAAATCAACACAATGCACAACAAAGCTCCTGTGCACCCCTGAGGCAGGCAGCTATTGAAATGCTGCCAGGGAGCCTTAGGGGCAGGGCTGGTACCTGACATGAGCGAGATGAGCCTCTGGCGGGCCTCGTTGGACGCCCTGGGCGTGCGGATCCTGTCGATCCACTGGTACTCGGGGTCCTCGTTGACCACCAGCTCCTCCACGAAGCCGTGGATGACGACGGCTCGGTAGCACTTGGGGATGGACGTGGCTGGTACAGACACACACCGAGATGTCAGAGACAGGCCAGGAGCCAAGGACAGACAGAAATCCTAACATCACACAGCGACAGATTGCAGACAGCTTCCCAGGCAATTTTCTGTGAAAATGTGGACACACCCAGGAAGTTTTTCTCGTGAAATCCTGGAACCCAGATAACTGTCCAGTGTACCAGTTACAGCATGTACCACTACGAAACCTTTTCACTTTGGGCCTCTTTAAAAAGATATGGACCCAAAATAACACCACGTGTGTATGCACAGGCACTGAAATGCAACTTCTGGACATTAAAAAAATCCCATCAGTTATTTGCATTGCTTTGAAACGTCAACGGTAAAAATGTGTTAAAAAAGAAAAGCAATTTGTGTCAATGTTATCTCCACTAGGTTTATGCAATGAGCTGGTAAGAGAAGGGAGACAGAAGAGGCATAGAAAAGAAGGAAAAAGTTTTTTGTCCAAATTAACTTTTTTTCTCTACTTACTGCAAAAAAATTTGACTCCACAGGATGACTGCCTAAATCTGTTTAAATCATTGAAGAGATCTACTTTCACCACCACGTTGATCTCCCCACGTATACCTATCAATAAATAAACATTAAATACCAGAAGTTATAACAATATAAATGTATCAATACAAAGCTAGACCTATAAATTATTTCCTGTTATTAGTATTTAATGTCAGAGGAGCAGGAAGCTATAGCCTTGCCTCTCAGGTCTGCAGAGACACTGGCTCAGAGGAACTTTCCAGCTCTGCCAAGCCTGTGAGGCTGAAGCAAAGAAAACAACACTCCTCAAATGCCTATTTGCACCAAACAGAACTCTGTAATACGAGACTGGGGAAAGAGAAGCCATCAGCCTATTGATGCTGCAGTGGCCTATGCCACTGTCTCTGCTCAATTTCCTCCCTGAAAATATTTCAAAACTGCAGTAAAGCTCCTCTCTGAAGTTCAACCCCAGAAGAAAGATGTATGGTTCTTTTTAGAACCACAAAGTGGCACAGGAAGGGTTTGCAAAATACTTTAACTGTGACAATAAATATATAAAAAATAAGGTATTATAGTCCTTTTAGACAAAGGTTAATTTTCAACTATGATTATACCTTACTAGAAATTAAGTATTTTCTAACACAGAACCATTCCTTTTTGACTTCTCTACTTTGCTGTTCTGAGCTTTTTCTAATTTTCCCCACCCAGTAACAAAATCATTTCACATATTATAGGTTCTGACATATTGAGGACTAAACTTCTTGATTGAGTATGATATCTAGTGTCTTCAGAAGCCTTTATCACATCAGCATGTGACACCGAAACAGCAGCACCAGATTTGTTGTTCAACTGACATTACTGCAATAAAACCAGCTGCATCTCCCTTCCAAAATGCCAACAGGAAGAAGCCTTCAGTAATTGTAACAGAAAATATCTCAGGGTTATATATTTTCACAGTCATGTTGAGGTGAAAGGAAAACAATGTAATACAAACTTATAAACATTTTATTTATTGTTTTTTAAGAAGCATCAATTAATGTTTGCCAAGAATCAAGATAATTGGAATCTACTGCTATGAGCATGAAAATATAATTCCAATTCTATTCACATAGAAACAAGTTATGAAATACCAACATATCTGGAAAAATATAGAGAAATCTAACTCTAACCTACCAGCTGTACACATCCTGAAACAAGTATTTGCATCACTTAGCTCCAGAAGAAAATGTGTGATAGAAAAATGTGCATAGGATTAAAAGGTAATTAAAAAAACAGTATTTTTGCAGTATTTCTTAGTATTTCTACTCACTATAACTGGTTCAAATGCAAAAAATACCGTGCATCAGTTATGATGAGCACCTGCTGAACACCATTAATTATTTCCCAACAATGATTTATAATTAGCTCTGAATATCATTAGGTCATTTAATTCACCCTGAATAATAAACAAGGGGGAAAATGGCAGCCACAGAGATGTTCTGCACTAAGACATTCAAGCAGCAAGTTAATTGCTCTAAGCTGACATTGGCTCTCTGAGACAAAAGCTGTTGCATTAAAATCAAAAGCAAAAATATATTAACTTTTATTTTCTCATACCTTCAAGACATTGTGATGAAAACCACCTAGCACTGAGAGCACTTACTGCAGGGAAAAGGAATTTCATCCTGTTGAAGATATCTCACATCCTTGTCCCTTCATCTCAACTGAAGTTCATCCCAAACCTCAGGAAGGCACACTTCAAGTAACCCCAGCAAAATCACATTTGTTTAGCAAACAAATGGTAATTGGACAATTACATCTGAGTCTTTTTTTAAATCCGAAATTTGCAGTAGCTAGTGAAGATTTATTCCCACTTGTCACAAGTCCTATGGAAGACGTTCTTGCCAAGCACCAGCCTTTACTCCCCTGCCAGGAATTTTCTCATGTCAAAACAAGGGGAAAAAAGCCAGGAAAGCAGTTTTCCAACCCCAAAAC